GACAAGTATCCCAGCTCTGCTGGATGGGTGATAAAAGCAGCTAAGGGCAGTGGCAGGGCTTGGAGCTGACAGTGGGACTGTCACACGAATGGGTAACACTTTCCTTCCCCCCTCTGCAAGGGGGATGCCAAAAACCTCCCAGTTACAATGTGCCCACAGAGGCATTCCAGACTGGATCCAGCCAACAGTCTCACTTCCCAGCCCACAGTGGCTGGGGACTCAGGGAGGAGAGTGGAGGTTAACTATGAAAGAGGCTGCTGTCTTTCCTTGAAGCATTTGGAGAGGTTTGATGTAACTGAGAAGACAAGCTGGAGCCAGCACACACCAGCTTGAAAGGGGAGGAAGCTCTGCCAGAGGCTCCTCGGTGTCACCTGCTCCCCCACAGCACTTGTGCAGGAGCAGGTGCTGGCACTGGTGCCTCGTGTCCACATTTGTGGTTCTGATGGAGTGTTGGATCGTTTCCTCCTGAACTCTCCCAGCCTGTGTCTGTCACCAGGCTCTAAAGCACAGGCAGAGCTCCCAAATCCCATCCCCTTTCCCAGAGCAGGCAGGACTGTGACAGTGACACCCATCCTGAGGCTCTCTGCCCATCCCTGGGGAAGTGAGGCAGAGCTGTGCTGCTGCTCTGGGGCTCAAGGAAACGAGGGGTCCACAGGGTGCTGGACCAGCTGCATCCAGGGCCTCTGGAGTACAAAGGCAGCAGGGCTGGAACAAGAGGCAAGGACGTCCCAAGAAGCACAAGCCTGGAGAAATGAGAGCACAGAGCCCACTCTGCCCAGCCAGCTTCCCACAAGCATGGAGTGAGGCACAAAGGGAGCACAGTTTTTAACTGTTCCTCCCTCACCCAGCCTGAAGTGAGGGCCTGGGAAACACCAGCTCCCCCCATTCCTCTAAGGCCAGAGAAGCTGACTCCCTGATGAGAAAATTGAATCTAGTCCTATTTAAAACCAGATCCTGCTCTAGCAATACCTCCTGTTTAGAGCAGGCCATGGAACAGCAACAGCTGAACCCTGGTGAAAACAGCAAGTTTTGTTCTGCTACAATTTATGTACCACACAGCAATTCTGGAAGGGCCAGCACAGAACACCACGTGGCCAAGAGTGTTGAACAACATCCCCAATGTTTTCTGCTACAAAAAGCTCCCACAAGGCTCAGAAGTCTCAGGTTGCTCAGGATGAATGGAACATGTTTTGTGGGTGGATGGCTTCAAAGCATCTTACACAGCAATTGCAGCTCAGCCTCACAGCAGCCCTGCGAGGCAGGGATTTTATCACTGCTCAAAGACTCACCAAAGTGGCTCAGGCAAAAGCCAGAAGTGGAAGAACTGGAGATGCCAGGGTCCTGATTCCCAGGTAAGCCTGCACAGACACTGTTTCACAGCAGGAAGTGCCCTGTGGAGCAGTCAGGAGAGGGTTGCTGGTACCATGATGTCTGCTGTCTGTTGTAAACACACTGCTTTTCTGTGAGGGGTGTCACACCAGCACAGGCTTCCCCTGGAATTGCTTTATTTCACACTATGGAAGAGTTCACAGGCATGGAGGAATGCTCTGCACACTGCATCTTCCCACTGTGCTTCTAGAGGCAGAGCTGTGGCCTTCCCAGCACAGCAATCAGGCTTTCACATTAGATTTTAGTCTGTGCAAACTGAACCACACGTGCCAAATGCAGCTGCACCTCACTGAGGTGCTGCCCAGCCACCAGAGAGAAAGGCACAGCTCTCCAAAGACTCCTCTCACCATGACAGAGCTGATTTTTGTGAGCCTTCACCTCTCCAGGCCCCACATGATTCCAAAAGGCAGCAGCTGCAGACATCTCTGAGAGGACACACACAGACTGTGCAGGCTCCCAAGCTGTTCAGCCTTGGCCAGAAATGCCAAGAGTTGGAGAAGTTGGAGGATTTTTTAAAGTGATCTTGCTGAAGAATCTGCAGTGGCTACAGAATAAGTGTGCTTGCTTATGCCTGGCTACCTATCACAGGAAATCTGGGAGTCTGGACAGCTAAAGAATGTGTCAATAAACCTTCCCTCTCTCCATTTCCCCACCACCACACTGCTCTTACTGGCACAAAAGACTTAAAAACAGAGATCCCCACAAACATATTTAGGATTCCTTTGTACAAAAGGATATGGCCCAGGAGTGTTTAAATAAGGAACAGACAAGGTTAAAAATGGATCAGAGAGCACAGAAAAGCAACACTCCAGGTTCCACCAAACCAAACACATTTAAGAAAATCACAGTTGAGGCTTTAATCTCTCTTTAATTTGCTCTTTCATCAGTGCCTGGGCATTGCTGTGTTTACTACATGCACAGCACTTCTGCTGTCAAGTTTCCTCTCCCAAAGAATGGCTGAAGTGAGTTCTGTACCCACCTCCTAGGGCTCAGAAGAGCACCCACTGAAGCAGCCCATGGGAAATTCAGATTTCCTGGCAGCACCTTCAGCCACAGAGACACCACCAGCACAAGCCCCTGCTAATATAACAAACCAGCAGCTCCAAAAGATCCCTTGGGGACAAGAGCTTTACCTGGCATAAAACAAATGCATCTACACAGACTTAAACAACACACTGCATTTTTAAAAAGCATAAAACAACAACATGTCCTCCTCCTCAGTCCTTTAAAATTGGCACTGCAACTTTCAGAAAGCTCTGAACACATAACCTCAAAGAAAAGCCATTTGGGGATGTGAACTGCACTGGCCTGAGTGAGCCCACAGCCCCAGAACTGTTTGGTGTTCCAAGCCCAGCAAATGTGATCCTGCCAGAGTCAGACTTTGTCAGCAGTTGCCTTGTGCCAAACATCACACCTGAAGGATTGGAAGTACTGGCAAATGCTTTTTCCTGCCACAGTTTTTTGCTGTGCAAGAAATTCCAGGATTCTCCTGCTCCACTGAGCTTCCCATCACAAGGTGCTAGTGCAGCTTTGTTACTTGTCACCCTGACAGACACAGAGTGGAAGTAGATGGGCTGTTGCTGGTTCAGGTGTTGCACCTCAGGTGTGTGCATGGAGCACGCAGACTCAGAGCACAAAAGATGCTTCAGGTTGGTGGTCACCTCTGCTGAAGTTGCTTCAGTGCTTGGGGCATTCACACCACCTTCCCTTCCTTGGCTGAACAGGGATCTTCTCTTGGAAATAAGATGAAAAAGGAAGGTGTTTGCCCAGTGGAAGCAAGGTCAGGTGACATGGGAAGATTATAGAAATGCTGCTGCCACTGTAAGGAGAAAATTCATGTGGCCAAAGCTCAACTGCAGACAAAACTGACCAGAACCGTAAGGGAAATAAAAAATAGTTTTTTCAAATATATTAATGGCAAAAAGCAAATTAGAAATAACACTGGCCCATTCCAGGATGAGGATGTTCTCCTCACAAACAGAGACACGGACATGGCAGAGGTGTTGAATGTTTCTTTGCCTGTCTTCAGCACATCTGATGGACCAAGGGTGTCTCAGTGCCTTGAGCTGGAGGACTGTGACTGTGGGAATGTCCAACTCCCAGAAGACCCCAAAGCAGGAGGATCTGCTGCTCCACATGGATGCCTACAAATCCATGGGGCCTCATGGCATTCATCTGAGGATCCTCAAGATGCTGCTGATGTCATTGCAAAACCTCTCAATGATTTTTGAGCAGTTTTGGGAATCCGGAGGGGTTCCAGCTGACTGGAAGCTGGCAAATGTCCCAGTTTTCAACATCAGCGAGGAGGACCCTGGAAACCACAGGCCTGTCAGTCTCACTCCAGTGCCCAGCCAAACCATGGAAAAGATTATTCTGGGAAGTACTGAAAAACACCTGGAGGACAATGCAGGCACCAGTCACAGCCAGCCACCTTCACAAAGGGAATCTGTTGAATGTTTGTTGGATCTGCTCTCCTTCTGTGTCAGGGAGACCCACCTCATGGATCTAGGAAAGGCAGCAGATGTTACCTTTTGGACTTCAGCAAAACTTTGGATATTGTCTCTCCCAGTGACCTTCTGGACAAACTGTGCAGCCCACAGCTGGTTAACCATGTCACATGATGGGTGAGCAACTGGCTCTCAGGTTGGACACAAAGGGTGACAGTGACTGCGGTGACACCAGGCTGGCACTGGTCACTAGTGGGGTTCTGCAGGGTTTCATCCTCATCCCTGTGCTCTTCAACATCCTCATTAATGACTTGGACACAGGACCAGAAGGAATATTAATTTTGCCAAAAACACTAAATTGGGAAGAGTTGTCAACTCCCTCAAGGGTAGAGAGGCCTCAACAAATTAGAGATGGGCAATCATCAACCATGTGGAGTTCATCAAGGGCAAGAGCTGGATTCTGCACTGGGGTCTGGGCACTCCTGGTTGTGTGGACAGACTGGGGAATGAGAGGCTGGAGAGCAGAGCTGTGGAAAGGGACCTGGGGGTTGGTGGCAAACCGGATCTGAGTCAGCAGTGCCCTGGAGCCCAGAGGGCAAACCATGTCCTGGGGGCACCAGTCCCAGCACCACCAGCCAAGAAAGGGAGGGGATTGTCCTGCTCTGCTCTGCACTGGGGCGGCCTCACCTTCAGTGCTGGGGGCAGTTTTGGGAACCACAACATCTAACAGACATTAAGCCATTGGAGAGCATCCAAAGGAGGCAGGAAGATGGTGAAGAGTCTGGAGGGGAAGCTGCATGAGGAGTGGCTGAGGTCACCTGGTCTGTTCAGCCTGGAGGAAAGTGAGGTCAGACCTCATCTGGGTCTTCAGCATCTTCACGAAGAACAGCAGAGGGGCAGGTACTGATCTCTTCACTCTTGTGACCGGTGACAGGACTCAAGGAAACACCTGGAGCTGAGTGAGGGCAGGTTTAGGTTGGATATCACAAAAATGTTTTTCACCCCGAGGATGGCTGGGCACTGGAACAGGCTCCCCAGGGCAATGGTCACAGCACTGAGCCTGTCTGAGTTCATGAAGTGTTTCAACAATGCTCTTGGGCACAGGGTGGGGTTCTTGGTTTCTGTGCAGGGCCAGGAGTTGAACTCAGTGATCCTGATAGGTTCTTTCGTATTCCAGGATTTTATGAGACACACACTTGGAAGTGCCAGCCCTGACAGCAATGTTCTCCTGCAGCAGGGTAAGATCCAAGGACTCACTTTTCCACAGCTCAGTTCTTGCAGAAGCTCATTTCCTCCTTGTTCTTCAGAAAATTCTGGTGTGAGATCCACCAGTCGTTCCGATAGGCCAAAAGGGCTGGTGTTCCTTTCCTCAAGTGTACAGGACAACATGTAAACATATGACAGTGTCAAAGCAAGGCAGGTTTTTACATTTACCTGCTGGTTTTAAAAAGAGTTCTTTAAAAACTGACCGTTGCCTTCCTTGCCAGTTCTGTGACCCATGAAATGTCCTTCCCCACAGCTGGGTTACAGCGCACTCACCCGGGGTGCAGAGGGGACGAAGCATTGCACAAAGGACGCAGTCGGGGCGTTCCCCTACAGGGAACCAACCTTGGACAGCACGTAACGAAGATGTCTGGATTGAGGAAGAGTAACAAAAACTTAAGGAGTGTGAGAAATAGAAGCAGAAGGGAGTAGAACAGAGCTGGCTGGCTGCTAACAGAGCTTCCATCAGCAGCTGCCTCTGGGTAGGTGGCGTTATCCCTCAGGGGTAGCTGCGGCCTCCACAAGATTCCCTAATCCTGTCAAAAAAAGGTACCTTTAAGCATTCCTCTTGTATCAGGGCACAAGATCCCAGCATGCAGATTAATCTCAGGATTATTCTTCCTCCAGTATTGTACAAGCAGGGTTAAGATTTCATGTTTGGAAGCATTTCTAGCAATTAAGCCATCACACAGCTGGAATAGAACACCCACCCACCCTCACAGAGTGAAACAATCAACATATGGGAGGCAGAACAGTGAAACCCAGAAAGCAAGGTGCTAATTTTCAATATTTAGGGTATTCATTTCAAAATTTGAATGGCAAATAATTTAAAAGTGCATGGGTTTTTCAGAAGAACAGATCTGCATCGTGATCTGCATTTTTACAGCTTTCTTTTTAAACCAGGGACTGCATTAAATGTTTGTTCCTTCCTGCTGCTCATTCCCTGCCTGAAGTCACACTGGCTGCCAAAATGGGATTTGACAATGTCATAACAAGCAAACTGTGGAAACCCCCAGGGCAAAATAAGCAGTCAGTAAAGTTCTCCCCAACCTTTAATGATGCTCTGTACTTGTAATTCAATTGTATTCAGTTATGAGCAACTGCTGGAAACAAGAGAGCAATCTACAGGAGCACACAGGCCTTCAGGCAGTCCCCACACTAGGGAGTCAGGCAGGAATCATGCTGGAATATGGACTTCCTCAGGTAAATTACTGCTGCACACCTTCTTTAGCAAGCCACACACTAAGCCACCACAGCACTTGCATCCATGGCAAACCTGGAGCATCCAAGAGCTCAAGAGCTGGTCAGCACTCTAATGCAGGCAGGCAGCCAATCCAGCAGCACTGGTTAACCAAGCTGCAAGGAATTTGCTTAAGAACTTTTGGCAAGCCTCTGCTATATGAGAAAAATGCTTCATTTAGCAAAGAATGTTTAAGTTCTTCCCTGTAGTATATTCCCAGATTCCCAGTGTTCCACTCTTTTTAAGCTGGCCTGTCCAGGGAACTGCTTTCCTCAGCAATTTTATCCTAAGCATATCTATCCTTGATTTTGCAATATTAATGTTGTCTCCTTCCACACTGACTGAAACTTGCTCAATATTTATGTATTTATTTATTTATTTAAAATGTAAACACAGACATTTGGAATTTAGGATGAATCTTGCCTTTGCACATAAAGCAGTGGAACAAATTGAAATAGTCCAGGCAGCAGTAAGAGAAACCATACAACTACTTGAAGGTTTTTTGTTTGAACAAGACACTGAAATCTGAGTGCTGCCTGATCATTTTTCATCTTTAACTGTTCACTATTCATTTGTGCTCTCTGAAGAGCACTTTAAACATCCCACCTCTCTCATTAAACAAAGATAAAATCAAATCCTTTCATCTATTAAAAGAGACAACTAGGAAAAGTAATAAGACTGTTTATTAAATAAAACCCCTGATTTAAAAAAAAAACATCAATAATCTTAGTTTTCTGTTTGGAACAATTAAAATAATTCATGGAGGGAAGATACTGCTTTATGTCCCTTGCTCTCCATCCCTCTCTCCTGAGGAATCCCCTATCTGAAGTGTGCCAGCTTTCCCCTGTGTTGTGCTGTGCTTGTTTAAAACCAGCAGCTGCCCGGGGGTCACCTGGAGGAGCTGCGCTCTTTGCTGACGCAGTCGTCCTGGGAAGTTGTGTCCCCGTTCCCCATCATTCCGCACGTCCTCCGCTTTTTCCTGCGGTGCATCATCCCCTCTGTCTCAGAGCCAGAGTCACACTGCAGCATGGAAAGATGAAACCACAATTCAGAGGAACCTCAACAACTGTCTGTGCTGTGCAATTCACCATGAGTTCTTTGAGCTCAGCAACCTGAGTTCAAGAACGTGCTGTTTTAGGCTAGACACATCAAGGAAATTTTAAATTAAGCATTTGAAAGTCAGTAACAGAAGTGTTTTTGGATTTCATCACTGGCTAAAGCTGACTTGAGGAATGACAGTGAATGTGCTTCTTTTGGTCCCTACAAGGACCCCATCTTCCAAGAGAAGACTTTGGCTTCTGAAGGATTTAGGCGTTGCAAGAGTCTTGTGCCATAACTGACCTGTTTTGGATATTTTTCCCCCTCTCCCAATTTTTAGAACATTCACTTTGCAGCTATTTTCCACAAGCTAAATGAGTGACAGATTCATATATAATATAGACATGGATCAAACAGATTGAATCCATTTAACAATGCGAAGAGAAGCTTCAGCAAACAGAACCTGCCAAGATCACAGGCTCCTCCACCATGTAGATTGGATTAGCTGCTTCCCATTAATTTATTCCATATGGCATGAATATCAGGATGAAAGCACATGATCAAGTATGGAAAAACACTGTAAATGCAGAATATGGATCACCTATTGCAGTAAAAAGCATTACCTCTGAATCAGAGTCGGAGGAGCTGGAACTTGATGAACTGGAAGAATCACTAGAACTGTCAGAAGCAATACCAGTAGATTCCTGCAGGTCAACTGAATCAGCCAAGGCTGCCAATTCAGGATGCTCCTGCTTTAGGATCCTAAATACAGACGAAATTTCAGGGTTAGCCTTTGAATTGTAACACTGCACATTAATGAATATTTTTAGGTCTTGTTTTCAATGGAGAATACACTAAGGAAGCTACTGAATCTCTTACCTGTACCATTTCCGTGACAGTTTAGGTCTCCCTCTTACTGTCTTGTGCCACACCACTGGGAAGTTGGTACAGCTGGCAAAGTTTTGTGTGATGGCAATAGTCGTGTCAAGATTGAGGACTACGTGCCACCAGCCACCTAAAACACAACAGCAGTGACCATTGGTGGCTGCATGGCAGAGAGCAAGTTCAAGAACAGCCAAGAACACCTTTCCCACAGTGCAGGTGGAACTGGACTTATCTTCCAAACCCAGAAGTGTTTTCCAACTCATCATCTTTCCTGTCTTATTTCAGCTTTCACCCCAGTGCTGACAGGTTCTTGTTACAGAAGGCAGCTCCATGCTCTGACCAAATTACTGAGCTCACACCCAGGACTGAAGATGTGACCTGACAGCACCAGGCTGGCTGCTGACAGTTTATTTAACAGCAGCAGCCATTGTAACCCAGACTGCACAGAGCCCTTTCTGTTCAGCTGGAGAGCACTTTCCACGCTGATTTTGCAAGGTTCTTATGACTACAGACTAACCTTTCATTTAAACATAGACACAAAATTGTTTTTCCACAGGGGATAAAAATAGTGGAGTTCTTACAACCCACTTAGAGGCTCAGAAAAGACTGAGGGAACAGTTTAATGGAACCCGACAGCTACAAACTCTCAACAGAAGGTACACTCAGGAGTCACTAATAAGTGCCAAGACAATCACAAGATACCCTTCACACACCAAGTCAGCTGGATGTTAGAGACAAGCAATGTGGACAGAAACTATGGGCTGTGCTGCACATAAATGATGCAAGATTCAGGGGTCAGGATCTGGTAGTGAACCCACTTCACCCCCACTTACAATGGGCACACAGTGTGCAGCCACTCAGAGGGAAGGGCATCTTCAGCAAAGCTTTATTTAGCTTTTGATTTCAAATGCAAGATGAAGCATAAGCACAGAGAGGTGGGTGGAAGGTGTCAGTGCCTTTAAGAAGTTCATTTCCCACAGCTAAGAAACATTCACATGCAAAATTCAGCAATGAATTTGCTCCAGCATGTACAAATTGAAATATTTTTGTCTAAGAGTTACTGGGGCTCAAACACCTCTATTATTTTATGCCATTATTTTATGCCCTGACAGCTTTCTACTACTGCAATTTAGTTCAGATTACATTTCTGTGATGCTGCAATTTAAATCCCACTTGTTTTGCCATCTGTACCACATGCAATCCTGTGCCACAGGTCATACACATTTTGTGACATTCAGGAAGTAACTGAATAATCTCAAAATGAGTTCAGTTTGTTTTGTAAGAAATGGGCCATATAAGAAAGCTGAAATGTTACAAACTGAATAGGAATGTTACAAATATGCTTTTTTTTTTCTCCCAGATTTCCTTTCTGCAGAAATCTGCACATACCTGGCACAAAGACTGTCTCTCCTGGTTTCTGTAAGACTTCCAGGGGTTTGAACTCAGGGGGCCAGGTGGGAAGCTGTGTCCGAGGATAGATGACATTGAACCAGGTGATGGCCTCGTCCTGCTGGTTGCCCCCCTCTTCCCGTGTCACTTTGATCAGCTCTCTGGGGGTGCTGGTTGGGAACAGGCACCAACGCTTATGTCCCTGCACTAAGGCATTCCATGCACTGGTTCCCAAGGGATCGATGTGAATTCCTGTTCCAGAACGAGGTGGGCCCATCACAAACCACCTGCAGGGGGGGGGAGAAGTGCTTTGTCACAGAGCAGGCAGGTAGCTCCCTTTCTTCATGTTAGACAGACAATTATAGCAGCTCATTGCACATTCAGTTAGAAATTAAAGTAACTACAGTTCCTTCATTTACATTCTTGATTTTGTTAAGTTCACACTGCAGCAAAAGGATTTAACAGGAGTTTAACCTAAAATCCTATATGAATTGGGACAGGAATGACTGTGGGATAAGTAAGTGAAGATGACTTTTCACGTGTCATAGCTGTATTTTGTTTAAAAGAGTTCTTCAATAAAATCATGATTTCAAAGTTTATGAGCATGATTAAGTCCCAACTGCCTGTGTTGAGATTGTTCCTAGGCAGGGGGATTCTCCTATGGTTTTTTAGAATTTGCTGCTCAAACACATCAGAACTGCAGAACAATGAGGAACAAAAGGCAACAACAAGGAACAGAGCAAGTTACACAATCCTGGCCTCTCTCTTCGCCTTCTGTTCATTCACAAGAGACTTTTCATTCCAACACTTAACTACATGGAGCTTATTCTCCAGTGACCATTCAGGATTTGAGGTTTATATTCCCACTGCCCATTTACAAGGTTTATTTCTCCCAGTGGAGAACTTTATCTACTGTACATGTTTAACTGCAGCAGCACCTTCAACTGCTTATTTTCCCTGGAACAGAGCAGTAAGACCAACCACACCAGAAAAAGCAGTGTGAGGTGACTTCATACCAGGCACCAAGAGGAAAAAATGACAAAAATTGTTTAACTGGCAGCAAGAGAGTGCAGACACTAAAGCACCAACACAATCCCTTCATGGTGTAGTGACAGGAGGGTGATGCCCAGCAAGAGGAATGCAAAGCTTCAGAAAATACAGCAAGTTCTCCACCTCCCCTTTCCAGTACAGGTGTAAATCAAACTGGTTTTGAAGGATCATTTGCCAGCATCAATTGTAGGATAGTAAAGTTTGATCATCAAGTTGATTTCTTCCTGCTTCACAAAGGAGCTGTAAATAAGCAGGTGTTTGTCATTTCTATTGCCAATTCACTCTTTACATTCATATTATGCTTAGAAAGCTGATTGCACTACAGGTAGAACAGTCAAGGCTTTTGTTAAGAAATCAGAAGAAATTATACACAAAGGTTTGTCTGACACAGACAGATGCACTGCTCAATACCCTTTTTCTGACAATAACCTGAACCTACACACACAGGTTTTAAAATCCTTATTTAGCAACACTGTCATTTAGCAGCACCTTCCTCCAAATACTCAATTTGCAATGAACAAAACACAGTTTGCCCCAAGACATCAAATTTACCATTAAAAACTTCACAACTCCTAAATCCAATCTGAAAACAAACCCCAGCCACCTTCCTCAAATTAAAATAGCTGCTTCAGTAAATGGCTTCCAGAAATTACTGCCTTTATTTTAAAGAGGAACAATGACAATAAAAATGTGCTAAACAGCACCAATTATTCTTTTAAGGTCTACACACTATCACACACCTCTCAATCCAGAGATCAACCTGTAGAGGTCGTATCCTCCTCATACAATTAGTACCACTTCATGTCAGATTTTCAATTATGCTCTAAATGTACTGCACACTCATTTCTGTATCTAGATGAACCCTCTGACTCCAGGAGACATTACTGTGCTCTCGTGCATCATTCAGCTCTCAAAAAACCTCAACAACCTGAAAAATACCCACATTTTCCAGAACAAAACACAACAAGTTGGATACCAAGATAAAGAGCAAGGAGCTCAGCATGTGCCTGTAGGTGGGGAGGGTGTGGGGGACACAGACAGCAAAATAAATGAGTCACAACCAGACTCTCTCATTCACCTCTAACTCGGGTAAATGATCTCCAGGTCATTAAATGTATTCAGTTTCTACTACACCCGGTGTGGTTTTGTGTTTGACCACAGTGTTGTATGTTCTTAGAAGAGAATTATGGAAAGCACTGTAAAAACACCTCCTTCACTGATCTCAAATGGAATCAGGTTCTTGCCTCACTCCTGCAAAAGCACAACTGGACTACAGACACATGAGAATGCAGAGGGAAGTGCCATTACTGATGAGCTATTGCTTAATTTTATTTAAATAAACCACATCGCAGCCTCATGTCACTCAAAGAGCAACAGGCATTGTCTGACAATTATAATGTCACTGTAACAACTTTAATTACTTGGGAGGGTTCAATTTGAGCTCACAGTGCTATGAAGTGTCATAGTAACATAGATAAAAATGGCTTTTTATCTAGAAGTCCAAATACAAGGTTGTTGCATTTGAATATACGAATGAAATGTCATTTCACCCTCTTCCAAGCTGAAGCAAAAATAAAGAGTTGAAAAGACTACACAGATGTGAAATAATGCTCTCTCTCAAAACCATCTGAAGGGGAGCTAAGAACTGGTGCCCATATTAGATCCTAATCTAGCTTAAGATCTTTACCTTAAAAGGAGTGACTCATAATTAAACAAAATTCCACACTGTACATAAACCACTGGTGCAAAACTCAGGAGCTGTTCCTGAGGTATTTAAAATTTGAACACAAGAAGGCACCCACAGCAAGAAACTGATCTTTATAGCTCTCAGTAACTATGTAACTAAGAAGTGATGTAAACTGACTTAATAGAACGAAAAAAACCCTAAACCATAAACCTGTAGCAACACTGGTGGCAGGAGGAAAAATTATGATATAAATCTCTCTTCTCTCCCACAGGATTACAGATGTACACTCATTTCAGAGATGACGTTAAAATATCCCTTTTTTTTATGAGACAATCCCAGGTATTTAGGAACAATGAGCTGCAAAATAGCCAGTTTTGTCTTGCTGTCACTCTACCTGTAGGGCGGCCTTCGTTTCTCCCCTGCATACTGAAAGAGATCATCAGTGAAGAATTTGGGGACCTTGTAGTCCTCCAGGAGTTTCCTTCGCTTGGGATGCTCTCCATAGCTGCTGTCAAAGATGTACAGGGGGCTGTCATCACGCGTGGTTTCCATGTACTCGATGTAATATTTCATCTTCATCTTCACGGAGTATCCATCATTGTCCTCCCCACATTTGAACTTCTGGTTCCTGTACTTGCGTTTCAGCCGCTCCAGCGTCCACTTCTCCTGGGCAGACCAGCCCACCTGAGCGTTCAGCAGCACCACGGGCTTGTAAGGCTTTTCATAACGCTCAACAAACTCCTCCACTGTTAACTGGAGTGCATCTGCCCTCTCCACGTTATCCTGGGAAACCAAGGGAGGAAAGCAGGACAGGTATTAGGACAGACTGACAGGGCTGCGCTTGCTCGAGGGGGTGCTTCACACATATCCCTTGCTCCACACACCACGCGGCTGTGGAGCTGCCTCTGTGTTATTTTAAGCTCCCCGAGGCTGCAGCCCCATTTCTGCTGGCCCGCTCCCTGCACACATCAGCGACACCCGCCGCCTGGAGCCTTTGGCACAGCTCCGCACCCAGGCAGCTCCCCGGGCGGAGAGGCCACCCTGCCCTTTCGGCTGACACATCCCTCGCTGCCTTTCACTCCCTCGGGACACCGGGAAGCGCTCCTGGGAGTTATGCGGGCGCCCGTTCCATCCCGGCGGGCCCTGACCTTCCCACACGCCTCGCCACGTGGAGGGAAGAAAGTCCTGTCCCTCACCAAAGCTCATCCGAGGCAACCCCAGCCTCGGATTCCCTCCGGTCTCTTCCTCGTTCCTCGCAGGACTCGCTCAGCCGCGCCCCCCTCCATTCCCCATTTCCCTCTCTCCATTCCCCATTCCCACCCTTTCATTCCTCATCCCCCTCTCTCCCCTCCGCCCACGCACCTTGCAGGCGGTGGGGCTGAGGGGGAACGTCTCGCAGTAGTTGTGACGGGTCCAGTCCAGCGAGTCCTTCAGCTCGGGCCGGGCGCTGCGCTTCGCCTCACGGATCCGTTTCTTGCTCTTGTGGTTCATGGCGGCGGCGCTGGGGGCCGTCACCGCCCGCGGCCCCCGGCCCGACCCGGATTCTGATTGCGATCCCGACCACTGATCCCGATCCCGGCCCCGCTCCGGCCGCACCTTCCAGAAATTTCACCCCGTGCCGCCGCTGTCGCCGCGGCCCCGCCCCCGCCGCATTCCCATTGGCCGGCTGTGCCCCGGCTTCCGCCACGCCTCGGCGCTGATTGGCGGAGGCTGGGGAAGCGGCGCCCCCGCGCCGCCATGTTGAGGAAGGGCAGCGCGGGCGGCACGGGAGCAGCGCGAGCACCGGGCGCCCTTGGCCGCGGAGTTCCGTGGCCGCCCCGGGAGCCCGCCGCCGCCGCTGCCCTTGCCGCGGGGGACCCGCGCTCCGCACTTGCTGCTCCCCGGACAGTGGCGGGCCGACCGCGTGTCAGCCGGTTTCCTCCCTTCTCCGGGAAGCAGCCCGCGGAGGCGCCAGCCCCGCCCCGCCGGGGCAGCGGCGCGGGCGGGAGCGGCCCCGCTTAACCGCGGCCCCGGGGGAAGGCCGCGGCTGGGCGAGCGCCTCATCGCCATCAGCGCCCGCGGCGGCGCTCCGCGTGACGTCGCGCCGGGAGGAGGCGCCGATTGGCCGGCGCGGCCTGGCGCCAATACGTGTCTGGCCGCGATTGGCCCATGGCGGAGCAGCGGCGGCGGCGGGCGCGGCGGTACCGTTTCGAGGACGGTCCGGCGGCGCTGGCCGTGCGCGTGCCCGAGGTACCGGGGGCAGCCGGGACACGGGGAACAGCGGGAGCTCCCGGGACCCCGGCACAGCGCCTCGCCCCGTGTCTTGCAGGTGCTGGACTCGCAGTACGGCATGTACGTGTGGCCCTGCGCCGTGGTCCTGGCCCAATACCTGTGGGCGCACAGGCGGAGCCTGCCCGGCAAGCGAGTGCTGGAGGTACCGCCCGCTCCCCGCCGGTTCCCCTCTCGTGACCCGCGGGCCAGGCTCCGCCCGCGGTCTCCACGGTCACGCTGTGGTTTCAGATCGGTGCCGGTGTGAGTCTCCCCGGCGTGGTGGCCGCCAGGTGCGGTGCCCAGGTGATCCTGTCGGACAGCGAGGAGCTGCCCCAGTGCCTGCAGAGCTGCCGCAGCAGCTGCCTCATGAACCGCCTGCCCCACGTGCCCGTCCTCGGCCTCACCTGGGGCCGCGTGTCGCCAGAGCTGCTCTCTCTTGCGCCCATAGACATTATTCTAGGCTCAGATGTTTTTTTTGACCCCAAAGGTACGTTAATGCTCTTAGGTATCTTTGGTTTGTGACTGCAAGGAGGTCGTGTCCAAGTACTGCTGGGAACAGTGTCAGTAGATCAGGTGACACTGTGCTACTGACCTTGTTACTCTGGGGTAACTCTAGTTTAGAGATGTCATAAATGCGGCTGAGGTGTGGGAGTGGATTAAGTAAATAACTGAGTCCCTTCATGCCATGCTCGGGTCTCTCATACAGATACACTGTGCTTGCATTCATTTGTAATTACCGTTTCATACAACCAGGCAGATTTATCCACACCTGGAATCCAGGTGTGGATAAACTAACCTAGACTGCTTTATCTCCCTGAACTACACAGACTTTGAAGATATTTTAACTACAATTTACTTCTTGTTGGAGAAGAACCCACATGCTCAATTCTGGACAACATACCAAGTCCGAAGGTAAAATTTTTACATATTTCAAAGTCAAACTTGAACTCCTGTCTCAGCTGCAGGCGAGCATCAACTCCTCTGTGGCAGCACCACTCTGACTCAGAAAAGCTATTTATTGTGAGTCAGTCTGCTATTTGGCCAGTAAACCCTGCAGGTAACAAAATCTCAAAATTATCCAAGAACCACCAGTTTGCAGTTAGATAAAAAACTGACAGAAATCTGGCTGTGTTGTACTAGTCTGGTGACAGCCTGCTTGAGTTACTGTAGCAGTGATAACCCTGGTTAGGTTTGCACTCCTTTTCCTCCCCTCAGTGCTGACTGGTCTATCGAGGCTCTGCTCCACAAATGGAACCTGAAGAGCATCCACGTTCCCCTGCACTCCTTTGGTGCAGACAAAGAGCACTTGGCCAGCTCCTCTATGCCAGGAAGACACACAGTTGAAATGACGATCATCTCACCAGCACGGTCAGAGGGCACGTCACTTTATTCCACTTCAGATTTCAGTACAACGTGATACTCAACTGTTCACTGTAACAGAGCTGCAGAGAACAGTCCTGGTTACAGCAAACCTCATGGATATTTTGGGGAAGCAGCAATTCCTAAAACATGCATTGTAAAAATAAAGCTGTTTGGTTTTCCAGCTATGGCTTTTGAGAAATTTGTGTTCCTCCCCCAAGTCCATGAAATAGTTCAGAGCCTCAATTCCATCATGTGAGCCACTACACAACATAGTTTAACCTGCAAATCCACAAGATCCAACCTAAATCCACAGCTTCAGCTATGAAAAGGTAACTGCACTCTTTTAAAATAAAAAAAACATTCCCATAAGATTCCTTTCCCAGGACTGAGGATCCTTCCCAAAGTTCCACATACAAAAGCCAGCCCCTCTGTTGGTAAATGAGTGTGTGGAGACTGCGCTAACCTAGAACATACCAACTCCTCAGTTTGTAGAAAAGTACTTTTAATCCTCAACAAAGCCATACTGCCAGTGTTCAGATGTTTCCATTCCCATTTAACATACATGCATAAGATATAAAAAGGCATTACAATAACCCTTGACACAGGATGTTTGAATTACAAGTCATTTGGTACCAAATCAAGAGAAATCATCACTGTAAAGATCAGCCCCTGTCAAGCAGCAGCCTGGTGAGCCAGGGCAAGCACACAGCAATGCAATTATTAGTACTGCTCAGTGTGGACCTCCCACAACACCAGCCCAGGATGGGTCTGTGTTCGTGGCCTGGTGTGTTACCACCTGCCACACAACATTGGGTTAGTAACAATGCTAATTAAAGTTTGCCCACAGTAATTTCAAAGCAACCCCAGTGGATAAAATTTATAAGCAGTAGAATGCATTTAGTTACTATATAGAAGTTAAACATTGACAGTATAATTGCAGAAATCTTTTCAAGCTAAAAATAAGCTGACCCAAGACATTAAGTTGAGAAAAGTTAACACAGAAAAAAATGTTTAATATTAACTACAGAGACAGTGGGTATAGTACAGAATGTCTTAAGCAAAAGATACACCAATCAGTACTTACAAAGGAATGAACCATTCTTTGCTTAACATTACAATTCTCATATGTAAGTTCATATATGTAGGTTGGTAAGTTTTACCATTCTGGAAAAAATAAGGTGTGTATATCATCAGCTAGATGTGCTCACTGTATGCTCCATTTTTTTTACGCAAGGCCCGGGTGACTGGAAGTGCAGTTGTCAGGCATTTTAATTAACTGGACAGCCATTTGTTTCTGCACGACAAGGCATCGTTACACAGGAGCAATCAGGAGACAACAGGAAACAGCCAAGCACTCTGCACTGCAACACGCCACCTTAACAGCTAACCAGCATTACTCAACTGCTACACAACTGCGCCTAGTGCACAAAAATACATAAGAGAAGAGATTAGAATTGAGTCTGATAAAACAATCCTTGCAAATATCAACTGTCACCTGAAAAGATTTCTACCAATTTGAATTTGAGGAATCTATTTTAAGTCAAAGTTTTTCTTTCTTTAAAAAAAAAAAAAAGCATTTACAGTAAGTTCCAAGTTGAAGTTTTGTGGACTTATTTAAGGAATCAAAATAAAATTGAGAGTACTTTTTGACAGTTAGCTATCAGCATATAATGGCTGCATGATTCCTCAGTATGAAACTGGAGGCAGCAAGTTACCATCGATTTTAATTTCCAATAGAAGTCAGCACTACATAAACAAAAATGAAGTTTTACCTCAAATATCCAAGCCAATATTGAAATCGGTAGTCGTTCACTTCACTAAATTACAAGAAATTTGAATAACAGCAACAAAATGGCACATAAAATGTAAAATCTGCCACTTGAGGCGCAACTTAAACAAGTAAAAAGTTAGACAAAATGTTACAAAATAACCTTTTCAACAGCTGGTTGCTCGGCCAGGGTCTCTCCAATGGGCTGAAGACTCAAGCGATCCTTTCCCCCCAAAGGCGTCCTTTATCTGGGTTCTCATTTAGCTGAAGCATCTAGGTTTGAAGAGAGAAAAGTTCAGCCAGGTTTCTACCTTGTCCATTTTGGGTGTGGATGACTTCAGGGATACTTCTAGTTGTGTTTCAACTGGCTTTGACTAATTTAATTAAGTTTTAGGAATTTCCACAGTGTTCCACCTCCCCCCCGTGTGTGTTGCTTTACTTCAGAGGCCAAATGTAAGGTTTGGTCAAAATATTTAGTTACAAAGGAGAATAAGCACCAGGCTGTAGATCAAGCCACCATTAACTTCAATTCAGCCTGTTCACCACTCAATTATTCAGAGTTCTATAAAAGTTACAAAACTAGTAATGCTTCATAAAGACTTAACTAAGCTCTAATTAGCAATCAAAACTGAAAATCTGACTAATTTTGCTACAATTATCTAAATCCAGAACTAGCTCAGGCCCTTTCCTTTTAAAAAACAGGACCAAACAGTTTGAAGGGTTAAAGACACACTATCCTTTCCCCACCCGGTGTATCCTTAGATGCCTCTTCAAGATGTCGACTTGAGGAAAAACTAGTTTCCGTGGTTTTCTCGTTGCAAGGAATTTACCACTTTTCTAGGACAGTTATTACCTCCAGTCAGTACAACGGCCACTGAACCGATCTTCGTTCTAAAAGGATAGTGTATCTTTAACAGTGTAAGACAAACCTGCTCCAACACACGCCCACAGAAACTGGTCCCTGGAGGATCAGCCAAATCAGTTAAAATCTGCAATACTGGCCAATATTCTTTTAGCAAACAGGAGACCGCAGCTTTAAAGGGGAAAATGCAGATGTTGGATAAATACAGTAAGAAATAGTCATTTTCATCATAGGTTGCGTCTCATACAATATTTTATTAAAACCAAGGCATTAATCTT